AAAAGAAAAAAAAAAAAAAAAAAAAAATCAATACTCCGATGAATATATTTAGTTCATATAATTTGTTTGTATTTTAACACGGCCAATGAGAGTCGCCGGCGGGGGGTCGGGGTAGGAGGGCGTGCAGGTCATAAAATAAAATGCACGTCATTCAATTAAATTTCCCAACACGTTATTATTTAAGAACACTAATTACAAACACGTCATTGATAATGTATACGTTCGTTCGTTGCACAGCTGATTAAAAAGTTATCGAGTACAGTATTTATTGTTTGGTCATCGTCGCTCGCGGATTTCACACGGTAACATAGTTTTGATGTGATGATCGTACATTGCGCTCGCAGCTTGCCTTTTGGCTACCCGTTTGCTTTGGCTACCTACGCCGCCGGTCCTCAAATCGTAAATCGAGCATTTCGCCGTAAACCTACAGTTCGGGTTTTCGTCGTCCTCTGCATGTCCGTAGGCGGGGAACGGCGCGTGAAAAAGGCCACGCAAGCGTTTTGCAATTCACTGACGCGGTCGAACCTGACGTTCGGTTCGTCCAAAAGTGTTTCATCTGCGCCGTTTCCGATGTCGAGTATTAGTTTTCTCACGAAAATTAAAACAGCGTTTTTCTTCGCCTCTTTTTTCGACCATCCTGTTCCAAACGCAATACGGAACGATCGTGAAATATCCGAATTCTCCGGTGTCCGTTGAATACTCTACTCTTTTCCTATTGAAAATGTCTACGATTTCGTTCGGCGCACTCACCGGGTGTTTTTCGCTGTTCCGTAATAACCGTTTCAGTGTTTCAGCGTCATCCGGGCAGAGTATCGCCTGTTCCAGAGACGCATTATTACTCTCGGGCCACGCTGTAATATTGCGAAACCATATTTACAGCATTCATCGTCGTGCCGTTTACAACGGCCAAAATTAATTAAAGACCGACCGAAACGTCTGCTTTACGAACGGCGGCCACGTAAAGACAACTGACTTATTTTTTGTTCACGGCGCAAAAAATAAGACGGCTGCAACGATCGCTACACTACAGTCGTGATGCGACGATTTAAAATATCGTATAGGATATCGAATAACAATTATCAATGTATAGAAATGTTGTCGTCAAATCGCTACGGAAATCGCGATGTTATCAGATAATATTTGTTTAAGGTTGTACCGATTTTCTCGGTTTTCCCACGGTTTTTCATATTTAATCGGAAAACTCTTGGGAAAATCGAAAAATAACCTTCCCAGTTAGATTTCCTTTCAGAAAACGTAATACACTTAAAAATCGGAGCAAGATCTCTGGCAGAGTAGTCGTCCACAGGAAAAATAAAAATAAAAAATAAACATTTATGTAAAACCATAAGCTTCTTCGGTCCACGCAGAATGTAAAAATATCAAAAACAAAATATAGAAAAAAAAAGTTTCATAATTGTTTTATTTCGCTATCCAATGTAGACATATTCCGTTGACGGACAAGTGTCTGTTCTGCTATTCGCTTTACACTCGTTTGTGTGTTGCAGGCTCAGTGACGGATATAAATAAAATGCTAGCGTGCAAACGGTCGATCGCGATTCCTACGTTTTTGCCATTTTTTTACGGAAACCCCTGGGAAAATCAAAAAACGACCTCTCTTAAGTACTACCCCGGACGAATTTTTTTTTCAGAAAAGGCGCTACGCTTGAAAATCGGTTGTTCACGAAGAAAAAAAAAATAAACATCACTGTAAAATCAATCCATTCCTCGCTCCGCCCAGAATCTAAAATCATATTATCATAGCCAATACACCCATATTTTCTTTCAGAATATCAAAAGGCGGACACCAAAAGACGACCGTTTCCGGAGAAACTCGTCTGAGGATGTGGGACTCGTGATTTGTGCGCCGTGTCAATAACACGTTATTGTATGATTGGCGTCGAGATGATAAAATATTTTTACGACTATGCGTGTCCGCGTTAAAAAATTCGTTTTTCATTTCCACGGGTACGCTGCGGTTTTGCGGTACGTCGATTTTTTGATTTTTTTTTTTTTTTTCGGACGAAACGGAAAAATATGTGTTACACACGCAGCCCACTCGTGTAGAAATTTGATTTTCGCCGTCCTTGAAAACAACCCACACGTACGCATTGAAATTACGTGTACGCGTTTTGGGCCCGAGGTAACGATATAGTGTTATTTTAACGTATACAAGTAGTTTTTTTTTTTATCGCGTTCTAGCAAAGGATTTTCAGTACACTCGATTACTTATTCGTATATTATGGACAAGACGCATGCGGTTTCGCAACGAAATAGCTCACTTCATACCAACATGTATTACATGATCCAATTATTCCGTATTATATATCCTTGTTAAATTTCGCTTTGCGTACTTTAGAATATTTTTAGGATTTCGTACGTTTCTAAAATATTTTTATCGTATTTCTTTTTTTTTTTTCAAGCATATTATGATATTTTTATTTTTAGTAGGTATTTAATGGTTTTCAGGGCACATAAATATAGAATATCTACCCTGGTTATTATGACGTGTTCGATATGATTCGATTTGTGTTTTTTTTTTTTTGTTCGCAATTGTTATAACATAAACGCCTAACCTATGACCCCTCTTATTTCTATAATATGTTCAATTTTGTACCGACTAGGCACTCTTCATATTTAGCATACGCTTCGGGTTTTCAAATGGCCACTCCCTTCTCCCTCCTCTCCGTTTTCAAAACGCAGATTCGAATAGAAAATATTTTCCATCGATTTTTCACGCGCATAACGGTAATATCGGATTTAAAATTTAGACCGGAGTAGTCGGGACGGGCTATCGATTTAACATCTCCGAAAAATGAATACGCGTTTTATGGCACTTTCACACTGCTCCGCTCTAAATTTAAACTGTTATTGTTATAACTACCGTACAAGTTAAATCCGATATTAAAGGAATGTTAACCCTATACTTTTAGAAAAATATTCTCAATGCGAATCTGTGTTCAAAACGGGAGTAGATGTAGTAAATAATAATCACGGTTCACGATTAAATCATAGGAGCGTTTTTTGTGTGTAATCATATCAAATTTGAAAACAAAAATTTAAAAGACGGATTCAAAAAAGCCGATTTTAGATTCTGAGCGGAGCGAAAAACCATATGGTTTTATAGAGATGTTTATTTATTTTTTTTTTTTCCGGTGGACAAATTTTTTACCAGAGGACTCGCTCCGAATTTTGCGTGCAGCATCTTTTCTGAAGAGAAATTCGTGTGGGGAAGTACCTTAAAGAAGTCATTCTTTAACTCATTCAACTTTTCTACCGGCAATTTTGCTCCAACATTTAGCAATAGGAATTTTTCCGAAAGGAAATTTCGCTGTGTAGAGAAGCCGTTTTACGGTTTCCTCCGGAGTTAGCTCAGCAAATGTGATAACTGGGAAAAAAATATGGGAAAACCAAGAAAAATGCAGGAAACCCGGGGAAATCGGTACAAAAAATATTATTAAAGAAAATTGTATAGAGCCCGTTTAATTATTTTACCGTAAGACCCATACATAATATGTTGTTGACGAACCATCACTATCAACTGAACACCGTTCAGAATGGTCTTTTCGTAAACAATCGTTGTTTAACGTTGCTTACGGGCATACACACAATTATCTGTAACTGCAGCGGCTGGGTGCCATCCCCATTATCCCAGGACGTCTTTTTACTGAGTAAATCCACGGTTTTCCTGGTTACTAAAAAAATATAATTACTAAAAATAACTGTGACTCGCAAATAGTCGTTACAGTTTTAAGCGAACAGGGTGGTGGGGTAGAGGTGTAGCCCGTAACGCCCTCACCCTACCTGCCGAGCACGTCACTGTTTCTCGGCGTAAACGTCGAGAACAGAGATTAACCGATGGTCCGTAACATACGGGTACGGTTAAAAACCAAAAACGAATCGCACTTTTTTTGACACAAATTGTCACCGGTTCGCGACGGCGACCGGATCGCCCTGTGCAGTGTGCACCGGCAATAATGCACTCGTGATTTAATAGTGACGTTGTTTTCCTCGCCGTGTTGCGCCACTGTGCAGTGCGCGGACGTGGAACGACAATTTATGTTGCGTACGGTTCTATTGCGCGCGCGTTTTTTTCACATTTTCATACAAAAGACAAATAGTTCGACCGTTTACGGCCCGATACAATTACCGCCCCGACTTCCCGCCCGCAACGTCCGCGTCGCACGTCCGGCATTTTTTTCGTTTACGCCGCGACCCGGTCGTGTCGGCTCGGCACGGCGAACAGTGTCGTCGGGTCGCGGGTTTTTTTTTTTCACGCGCGAAATCGACGATTATTATTTTTTTTTTCCCCCCGCACCGTGACTGTTCTCTCGCGCGGCCCTATTGAAATGCCGGCGCGCGGCGCGTACGCATTGCACACGGTATAAAACAAATAACAATTACGCGCGTATAAATAATATATCGGCGGGTGTCGCGCGTCAACGGCTGGTTGTTTGTTCAGCGACTGCTAAAAAAACACCGGCAGCGTGCGCAGCGCTCCGCGGTGCCGCCGTAGCGCACGGCCGCGTCCGTCGGGCCGGGAAAAATCCATGACGACGACACACACAAATGCCGGCGGTGTCCCGTCTCCAACACGCAGCCGTCGTCGCCGCCGTTATTATTTTTAATTTTTTCGTTTGTTTTTTTTTTTTTTTTTTTCCTAAACTTTAGACGGCCCGACAGCGGTCCGTCACAATTCCCCGTGTGATTTTCGTGTGACTTTGCGCGCGCCGCCGCCGTCAAGGTAAGCGATTCGTTTTTACCGTTGAGTTTTTTTTTTTATTGTTTTTTTTTTTTTGTTTTTTTCCTAAACTTTAGACGGCCCGACAGCGGTCCGTCACAATATCGCCGTGTACGGCGTGCCGTCGTCGTTTTCGTACGCGAATCGCACTCGACAGCGGTTCGTTCGGTGCCCAATCGAACGTTGCCGACACGCGCGGGCGTTCGAACCGTTTATTCCGGCCCGCGGATGTCCGCCGGCGGGTCGCGCCGCGTGGCGGTTTTTCGAACGGCCGTCGCCGTCACCGAACGGCGGCACGACGCGCTACGAAAAATATCGCACTCGCCGTGAGCGGGGCCCGTCCGGTCGCGGTGCTTTGGCGAGCGAACACTGTGATCGCGGGTTGACGCTCCGCGGCCAAAAGTTCGATATCGCCGCACTCGCGCGAACGTCGGTCTGTCCGGCTCCTGTGTCGAAAAACATTTTTTTTTTTTTTTTTTTTATATATTTTCAAGATATCAACACGTGAGTATCTGGTTCAGGCCGGAATCTCGGAAAAACGATTCTGGTTTTTGAGCCGCGTCCGGCTTTGCTCTCGTGAAGTCCAGACTCGGGCTTGTAAGTATACGCAAACAGACTATTGGCGAATCTGACGGATAAAACATATTTTATTACGTGTACGGCTCGTAGATTTTGATTTCAAAAATTATTAGTTTTGTGGATTTGGGCGTATTAACTGTGCAGTGGACAGGTGTACTTTCGGATTTATTATGAGCAAAAATAGGAAACAAAGGAGAAATTTGTCATATTTTTTATTCCATGAAAAGCATCGATTTATCGTAAATAATAATACCATAGATATTACGGCCTAATAATTATAATGACGATAAATCAATGATTTTTAACGAGAAAAATTAATTTTTTTCTTTCCGGATACCTGCGATCCTATAAGAAATAAGAACGCGCGGGTGCCACATTTTGTTTATCCGATGTCTGGTTTTTCCGATGGACCCCCCAGCGCTTTTCACACTTAGTACTAGTAGGTCTATACACGAATTAAGGTTTCGATTTTGAAATATCGATTTATTTGAGATTTTGGCCTAGTCTGTCATAGTTTGCGAATTAACTAAATATTTTTTATATAGTACAGAATTTTTAAAAAAAAAAAAAAAAAAATGTAAAACTGAGTCATTAGAATATTGATCGCATCTAATAAAAGTAATTAAACGATTTATTGTCGTTACTTATTTTTTTTTCTTAGACAAAATGAACCGAGAAAAGAACAAATCGTTCCATTCCGACTTAATCGGAACAAACAGATCGCATAATTTCGTTGTGCTGATCCCTGAGCGACTTTATTTCGTTTCTTATTCGACAGATTGTTGTCCGCTGGACACTGGAAAATATCACTTTTTCCGGAACGACGATTACGTCCGAGATAATGTGACTAGGAGGGGCCGCGGTGGCGACAAGAAATACGTATACGAACCTCTTAACTTAGGTTGCTTGGTTGACTTTATCCGGGACGTCAACGACAAACTGAACAGCGTTCAGTACCAGAATAAGGCCATCGTGCATTACGCGTGCACGTACGATTTTCGGAAATACGACGACGCAGCTTTGCTCATCGGAACTTATGCGGTAAAAAAAATAATAATAATAATAATAAATTACAGTATACATTTTATTAGTCCAGTGTCGCATAAAGATAATTTTTAAAATATCTATATAAAGCTAGGGGATAGTTGCTAGAATTACCTAATTGTCTATACCAGGAAAGAAAGATACGTACAAATTTAACTATCCCGATAAAGATTAACAATCGTGAACATTTATCTAAATAGAAACAAAGGTAATTTTGTTCAGAATACAAAAAAAACATTGTAAATGTTTACCAGATCTGGTCAATGAAACCTAATGATTAATTGATTTAACCAAAATAATATTAATGAAACATTTTACTTATTGTTTCTAACGTAAAATATATGACGTGTAAAATAAATATATAAATTACGATTTAAAAAGATTTATCACATTAAGAATTGATAACGATTCAGTTATTTATCTTAGATATTTGCTCGGACAATTTATTTATCTATTTGTTAATGAAAAGTACGTTTTATCTTAAGAAATCTGGATCATTCATCGAGGTACAACACCGTTAATCGCCTTCGAATTGACGAAGATCTTATATTATAATAAGTGTCCATAATTCTCGTACCCAGTCTGAATCTTAATAGTTCCACATATATATTTATACCTAGGTAATCATTCGTTATTAGATAATATTTCTACTGTAATATGAATGTCGGTTTGATATTGTTTTGTATTTTAAATGACATTGTTTCGCTCGAGACTTGAAACACACCGAAACCAATTGATATTTAATGTTTATTGATTAGGTATCTCGTATACATAATAAAATACTGTGTTTTGAATTATTCAGACAACCCGTCATCGTCGTAATATTACGATCAATAATCTTACGTGCAGAGGTAAATTGTCCATAGAGATACTCGTGGTATAATATTGCGAATAAAGAATAAAAAATCATTTTCACATCCCAATGTATTAATGTAGAGTTTAACGCACCGAATTCGACTACAGATAGTCAATATTGGGAAGTTTTATATTCGTCTGAAGTTTAACGGACTGCATGTCCAGTATGTGACCTATCGTTCATTATAGCATCTCCGATCTGAGAGTATTAATAATTGTACTTTAAACTAGACCGCAAACAATGATAACTCATACCCATCTCAAAGATTATGGATCCGAACATGAAACAATAGTTGACCATCGACAATATTTTATCGTGCCATCAACTCAAGCCTTCGCTCGGGAAATCGATATTAATCGTGGACATCGACCGAGTCGCATTGTAACATTATTATAGTAAACGGACCAGTTTTATACCGAAAAATCGAAGAAGAACTTAAAGTGAAGATATTTATCATTATTTCTTACACATTTATCGGTAGGTATACGTAAAATGTTTAGCGGTATAGATAAGCGGTAGGTATACGCGTTTGCTGGTACTCCTGGCAGGGAATACAGAGTTCTTCAAACATTTCTTTTAGACATTCGCTTCTCCTTCCTCCTTCACGCGCAATTCTATTTAGGTAAGTAAATAATTTAAATCAGCATAATTTAACAAATCACATATTTGACCCGTGCCAAACTGAAAACGTGCCCGTTATTGTAATATATCGAACGAAGTGTTTCATTCCATATTTCAATTGCACTTGAAATATTACGCGAGCTGGTATAGAGACCGAGAAACCGCAGTTCCCTTTAACCTTAATACACCATTGCAGATTTTAGTTTTACACCAATTCGTTTTAAGTGTTTACGGTAGATGTTAATTTTTTTACTGTGTATTAAGGTGGCCATACTGAATATGTGTCCGAAGACCGTGTACGCGAAGCTCAAGAATAAGAATCAACGCGTCAACGAGAATTCGGTTTATGGTTACGGCAAAACCAGCATCGACCTGTACGATTGTTTGAGCGCTGTGGCAATGGCTGTCAAGCACGGGTTCGTGAACTTTGACGATTTCAGCTGCCGGAGGTACTATTTGTCCAGCGATTTCACCTGGATAGTTCCCGACAAATTCGTCGCATTTCGCGGTCCGGTAGAAGGGTATTGCGGTCGGCACAACAGCCTACAGTTCTACGTCGAATACTTCAAACGAACCAACGTGAAAACAGTGGTCAGATTGAACCGCGCCGAGTATAACAGCTCCTGGTATAAATGTTTTACTAATTTTAGATTCTAGTAAATGGTGGAGATGATTAGCTATAATTATATTTATGTATAATGTGTATACATTTTTTAGTGCGTTTATATAGAGATGCGAATTTTCCACCCGGTTGTACTTTAGTCGAAACATCCGTCGAATTACCATACGTTACATTTCTTTAACCACCCTATTATAATTTATTTTTATTCAAATATGTATAACTGAGCTGCGTTCAGAATATTTTTTTTGATTTTTCATTTTATTAGTATAATCGATCTGTAGAGATTTATTAGGGGTGAGCACTGAGCATCGGCATGAGCCGATATTTGCTAGGGCTGACGGTATTGAAAATGAATACCGATAGTACGGTATTGTGTCAATACAGGTTTGAATAGGTATACCGAAATACTGATATAAAACTTATAAAAAGCCGGTAAGATAATGATGACAGAGGTTCTGCCAAAATTTCTTGTAAAAAAATACCATTATCGAATTTAATTGTTTCTACCTTCATGTCGGTAAATGAACTTAGTTAAATACCGTTTTTGGTGTTGGTGATGTCAATTAATTGCATAAACGTGTTATGAGCTTATCATCATCCTATTTCATTTTGCACCAGCAAAGTATGGAATACCACGTACGACGTTAATAACGAAAATTAGTGGCAAATGCACAAGGTCTTATGGTCCAGCAGATTTGAGGAGAAATCGATTAATTTATCCAAAATTAAAATTGGATATTGATCTCTGTTTAAATTGTTCTCAAATCTGTTAGATTTCTTGATAGTTTAGTTCGTAAGTCGAGTAACCAGTACGGTATGAACTTCACTGTTTAAAACCATAAATGCGATGCCATGTAACATCGGATATCGGAAAAAAGTCATACCGGCTCACCACTAAGATTTATACAACATTACTAAATTTAACGGCAGGCATGTATTAATTTATAGGTTCACTGATTCCGGCATCGAACAGGTCGAGTTATATTTCAAAGACGTTACGGCCCCGTCGAATGCGGTCTTGCAAGCGTTCCTTTACATTGCTGAAATATCGCCCCACGCTATAGGAGTGCACTGCAGAGTTCGTGTTTTTTTTTTTCTGTTATTTCAATCGTAAAGGAAAAAATTATTATTATTATTATTATTATTATCATTATTATCGTGCAATAAAGATGGGCCTTGGACGAACAGGAACGTTGATCGCGGCCTACCTTATGGAGCACTATAAGGCTACTGCTCGTCAAGCAGTCGCTTGGTTGAGAATTTGTCGTCCGGGGTCCGTTATGGGACCGCAACAGCCGTTCCTGATGGACAACCAGACTATGTTGTGGAAAACAGGTGACAGACTTCGGTAAATGCGACGAGGTTTTTATTATAAAACAAACCTACTTTTTTTTTAGATTCGGAGCGTAACGAGTGCTCAATGTATTGGTTTAACAATGATGTTTATTCATTTTTTTTTCTGTGAACAACTTTTTACCAAAAAATTTTGCTCCGATGAAACAAGCGTAGCATATTTTCTGAATGGAAATTTAATCTGGTCGTTACATTAAAGAGAATATTGTTTTGATTTTTCCACCGGTTCCAACCGGAAAAAAAATAGGAAAAACGGGAAAATGTACGTTCATATATAAAAGAAACTTCGCTCCGAATCGTTTTTCGTTGGCAATAGTTTATCATTGCGTACAGATATACATTGAATTATTCTGTTTATCCTTCTCAACTTCTCACCTGCAACAGTGGCCTATCGATCGTGCGAAGTATTTCCGTATTTTTAGTTATTAGTCCTCAGATCAGTTTTTTTTTTTTTGTAGTTTAATTCGTTTAGGTCCTTGTATTTTCCTTTTGTTCATATCCGATTTAGGTATATATTTTGCCTTTGGTCTTCCTCTTCTAACGTATCCTTTAACATCTCCTTCAATTACTGTTTCTGAATAAAGCGTTCTTGGCTAATATAAGCCCTATAATCTTATTTCTTCTGGTTTGAATACATTTCTATAACTGTCGTTTCCCTTTATACAATTTAATAACTCTCCGTCTGTAATCCTCCCTCTCAGTCCAGAGGATCTTAAGACGACGTTATACCCGCATCTACTGTATCAGCCCAACTACCGGGTAACATACAAAAATAGTACTTACGCAGAATAAGAACCGGCTTAATTTTGATTTTAGAGTAAAAGTACCTATTATGAAATGTATAGAGAATAATATTTTGGAGGGAATGTCATTGGTGTTTTTTGAATTATGAGCTATTCAAATAGTCACAGTTGTTTAAAAAAGCAATTATCGAGCTGTATATTTTGAATAATACAAAAACCTTACAGTGTTCCTTCCAAAATATTGTTCTTTATAAATTCCATAACATGTACTTTTACTCTAAAATCAAAATTAAGCTAGTTTTACTTATTCGACGTAAGCATTGTTTATGTATGTTACCCGGTGGTTGGACTGAGACAGTAGACGCGGGTATAACGTTCTCTTAAGCATTTTCCCAACATACCGCGCGTCTTGAATAAATGTTGTACATAACTTGCACTAATATCATCAGCACGTTTTGGGTTGTTTCAGAAAGGAAATATACGGCTCGAAATACGCCCAAGCTTCAGTTTGCATACACGGCATGTACCGGAAAACTGTTATCGATTCGAAAAATCTGCCGAGTAACCGTTACGTGCAGCAAATGAAGAGGTCCGGAAGCCGGTACACCAACAATACATCGTTCGATAGACAAACGAAATATGCCGTGAAAAAATGTTCCGACGAATATCATTAGACATCGATCGCTATATCTTATCTCTATATCGAATTGTATTGTTTTTTTGATATGTTTGTTGTAAAAGACAATTTAGCGTAAGCAAATATTATTGTTAAATTTTAAATTTAAGTCGATTTCGTTTGACGTAAAAATAATAATTGCTAATTTTTGACTTCTAAAAATGTATTCGTCGCATCGTTTATATGATAATATTCTGTAATATCGTAAACAACACGCGGGTACAAGCCGTTTTAAGTAAAAACAAAAATTATTTGTTCCAGCTTTCCAGGCAAATGGTAATAGTTTATATTTTTATTCGATGTGCAGTCAACGATATCTAATCTGAGCTTACACAGCAATATAGACTCGTTATTCGATAAGAACGAAACATATCGAACTGTTCCGATCAATATTGACGTATACTTATTGTTCGCAAGATTTCCGGAAATCGTTCTTCCGAACGGAATAAGGCATTCTTCCGGAAAAATGAATTTACTTACAAATCTTTTATTTACTTTTTGAACGTTAGTTTCGTAGCGCTTTAACGCAAACGTACTCTTTCGCGATTCAAGAATGAAAAGTCTTCACTGAAATATACTCTAAGTAAGTATCTACACATTTTAAGTTTCAATGTCGTACGAATTATTGCGTTTGTTATTTTTTTTTAAGACTGAAACTCATTCCGTAAGTCATCATTTTTTTATGAATATAAGCCCGTTTTCAATAGCTTGTTGCAGGTTTCGATAGCGTATATTATAATTTCTCTTCATTTCTAATGCCATTATTAATTTCTTAACTTTAGAACCTATCGGGAATGAATTTTCCGGTAGGAAAGGTAGATCGCTGTGGACATTACGTAAGCTGTTGGGGTACGTCATTACCTTCAAAATACTGTTAGATAATTTAAATAATGCGGTGATGTCTGTTCTGTCGTGTAAATAACAGTGTACCGTGTTTTTAAATTAGATAATTATTTAGATTTCATAAAAAACATGATCCGCCTCTTTCATTAGGTATAATTATATATTTGATTTTGATTCATTAATTAAATCAAGGCAATTGTTACTGTCTGAGTTGTTATTTGTAGTGTCAATGTTCATCTCAATTTTTATAATTATGTCATTGGAATTTTTCGACATAGATCTTTGTAATATATTATGTTAAAACTCATATAAAAAAGAATTAATATCTGTGTTGGGTGGGCTGTAAATCCCATAAACTACAACATTTGTATTTCCTTTTTTAAAATTAATTTCTATACTAGACATGTAATTTGTGTTTGATTTATTTAACCACGCTCCTGTTAATATAATTAAGTCAAAGTAAACTGTTGGACTATCTAACATAATACTGAACTCTTAGAAGTTTTTATTGGCACATTTTTTGTTCAGTTGTGTTAATGAGCATTTATTAGTTATAAATGTTTTCAAGTTTTGTGTGTGACCTTGATGAGTATTTATTAAATTATAGTCATTTAAAAAATGTATCAATAAAAATTTTATTATTAGCCATTTTTGATTTCTAGATAGGATATTTGTGAATTGGTCATTGTTGTTTTTAATAAGGTTAAATTAATGTTATATAATATTAACGATTGTATTAAAATAGTTATTTTTGGTGTGTTTGAAAATATTTTCGATTGGTGAACATTAGCTTTGTGTCTATGTTTTAATTTAGTATTATTTCAGTAAAATGAAATTAATTTAGTTATTATTTTAGTATATTGTCGACAATGCAACACCATTTGTCGGGTTCCGCTCAAAACCGTTTTTTCGTTAGCAACGGTTAATCGTTGGTAACAGTTATACATTATATTACTAAGACCTATTAAATCGGTGAACGTTGATGCATTTATATTAGGCACAATGTGATATTAAAAACTGTGTTATACCCATGATGGAACCTGTAGCGTGTTCGTATTTAATTTCTAACTTTTTTATTGCCTATCGTTACTGTTATTATGGACTTGTGTATCCGATTAGTATCTATGTAGATAGTATTTTTCATAGTTTTTTGAGAACTGATAAAAACCGAAAACCGATACCGATAACCGCTTTTTTTTTTTTTTTTAAAAAAAAGTTGGAGTGGTAACTCGTTTTAATTCAACGAATGTTAACCAAATAACCGGAACCTATTATATTTTTAAGTAACGGTTTCGTAACCAGTTTAGAAATAACGAATTTTTTTTATCCTTTGCATCGGATGATAATATTAAAAATAACATTATACTGTTATTAGGTAACGCGATTTAATATTTATTTTGAATTTGTATATTCAATACACGATTATTACCATTCACCGGTATCAATAACCCGCGATCGTCACTGCGGAATTTCCAACGACGTATATGTGATCGCTAGCCAACTGACCGAGTTTTTTTAATTTTATAATTAAATATTTTATCAGAAAACTATCAAAGTTAATAATGCCGTTTATCAAAACTGATGAGACCAAATATACGATGAATAAAAATGCGATCATGTTTCAGAATACGCCTTTAGAACTTTAGATCCTAATCCGGCTTAATACACCTAGCGTCCTAACCACTAAACTACTTAATTATTGAGAACATAGATCGTTTCGTTGATATTATATGTAACTTATATTTTAAATTATCAAATCGATTTAAAAATATTATATTTAAATTGGCACCTTGAAATTGTGGAATTTTTTCGGGAACGAGTACTGTAAACTCCAAGACGAACCTACCTCTGACACGTGTCTCTTCAACCTTTTTTGTTTTGTTGGCTTTAAAAAATTTTGCGAAACATACCTATTTTTTTGGTCATAGGTTCGTTGTATGCTTTATTATTCCCATCGTGCAGTATGTTTTCATCTCTCAATTTCTTTATTTTGTTTCGGTCTTCCAGTGGTTTGATATCCTTAGTTTTACCTTAACTAGCACCGAGAAATGATCTGAGTCACCGTCGGATCCTCTCTTCGACTTCACGTTATTTATACACGATCTGTATACCTTATCAACCAGTACGCGATCTATTTGACTACGATACACTTCATTTGGAGCAGTCCACGTATACTTTCTTATATTTTTCTTGGAAAAGAAACTACTACTCATTACAAGGCAATGCGTTATTTTAAATTCAACTAGTCTGGTGCTATTATCATTACCGAATTCATGAACACTTTCGTTAACTATTGTAGGTTTATACATCGCCTCTCGCTCAATTTGTCAGTTGAAGCCTCTTAGTAAAAATTTTTGTTGACTGTTTTGGTAAGGTGTTATATACTTTTTCCAATTCGACATACGATTTATCCTTTAGCTTATACTTTTATACATATAGAATATAGATAATATATTAATATTTATTTATTATGCGTATATTTTTTTTTTTTAGATAATCCAACTAAAACGCCAATAAGGCTTAAAGCCAAACCAAATAAAGAGATTATGGCAACTACGTCGATGGTTTACGATAAAACTAAAGTTAACTCGACGTGTTGCCCAAATGTGTTATATCTCAAAATACACGTTACCAAAAATTGCAACTCGTTACTGCGGACACCTTTAAGATAGGAAACTGGTAAACCCATGTTATAAATCTATCTATATTTTCTATTCATTTTGTGTACAGAAAAATGCTTCAACCGTGTTTGCTTATTATTTCAGTGTTCGAGATCTAGGGATCGCTGTACAGCCAAAGTCAACGCTATACATTAAGAACAATACTAAAGTTTTAAATTTCTTCTTCTTCTTCTTGAGCTTTTTCGGTCCTCGCAGGACTTCGCTGCCTCTACTACTTTTAACCAACCATCTTTATCGATGTTATATTCTATAGTTGAACCCCGAGTGCACTCGTTTAAATCTTGTTTAAACCCTGTCTATCCAGCGCTGTCTAGGGCGGCCCGTAGGTCTTTTTCCATTCACTTTTCCTTCCAGTGATCTCTTTAGAACTCCATTTGACCTCCATACATGGCCTGCCCATTCAATTCGTTTACTTATGAGGTACGCGTTGATACCGGGTTTTGATAAATTTGTTGTACCTCTACATTAGTTCTTCTTCTGTAAACTTCATTTTCTAGTATAGGTCCATAAATCATTCTAAGAACTCTTCTTTCGAAGCAAGCCATTTTTTCCTCATCCCCTTTAGTAGTCGACCATGTTTCACACGCGTATGTTAGGACTGGCCGTAGAAAACTTGAGTACAGGCGTTCCTTTGATCGTCTAAAGAGGAGTTTTAACTTGAACAATTTTTCCAAGGCGTAGTAACTCTTGTTAGCGACTGATACCCTTAGTTTAATTTCATTATGCATGTTATCGTGATATGATATGAGTGATTTGAAACTGAACAAACAGTTGTAAAAAACCATGTAAAAATTGCATTTGATGTGTTTATTTAGTTTTAAAAAAAATTTAACTTTCATCCAAAAGCATACAAATGTTTACACGACGATTCGGTTCCAGTGCACGCACCTGTATCAGGTATATTATATACACTATACCGCGTGCGTCCGTGGATTTTTTATGCGATATAATAAAAAATAATAATAATAACTTAGAATTTATACGTTAAAAAAAATATCGAGTTCTATACTATACATAATATGCATTATGCACTCTCACGGGGTACCACATACACCTGTGTTATGCACATTGTGTGCGGTTCGGGTAAGTCGTGTGAAATTCGGCAACGGACATTATAATAATTTTTAATAATATTACACGATAGTAGGTATGCATATAATAATAGGTACATAAATCGGTACCTCCTAAGTCCTGGTACAACTCGTGCGTGGACCGGACATCAGTTCGAGCAATAATAATTGGCCGGCAGGTCATCGGGTGCGATGCGATGATGACGGTGTAGTACATGTAGTTTTTTTCGGCGATTTTTTTTTTGTTTTTTTATTTTTTTATTATGCGTGCCTCTAATACGGCGATTTGAACAATATTTAGAATACGCATAATATTACAATGCACAATATAGGCACCTATACGTATGTTATAATATACAGGGTGATACTTTAATAATGCACGGATTCGCTTGCAGGACGCAGGTGCCAATCCACACGGATGCACACCGAAAATTTCAATTAGGTTTACTATTTGACAATCAAAAGTCGATTTATTACTATGCGATATGTTTATTGGGGTGTAATTTCGAAAAGTTTCCGAACGAAATCGTTTAAACAGTTTGACGCGCAGTATTTCAGCTTTTGCCAGGGCAATGTTTGTGATCTCTTCGGACGAATAGCCGTCGTAGTGATTCCCGAAAATATTTATTTTCAACGATCAATTTGTTTTAAAGACAATTCGCATTGTTATTCGACGTAGTGATATACCACCAGCAACAAATTATAAAGATATCACTTAAAAAAAAATTACATATTATGCGATAATAATAAAACAAATATAATTTAAAAATAATACAATTTTTTTCGCTCTAGGTTTCGATCTATACTTAATAGCTGAATAAATTCAAAAATAGGCTGACGATTTGAATTCGCCTAGGTTTAAAGAAAATGATGAGAAAAAAAAAAAATCGCTCGGAATAAAAATTTACGTCCAAGCCTCCCGTGGGCACACAATATAATAACTACATAATACAACCGCCAGTCCGTGCACAAAATAATCACCCTGTATAATACGCGTTATTATTATTATTACGCGAACGACACAAAAGGACCGTATTATTATTATTATTATTATTTAGAACAAGCAAAAAATATAATATAATATATGGAAAAAGGATTTTTTTTTTTTTTTCTCCGCGTTCCGAATATACTATATATTATAATAATATATAATATATGTATTATGCTATCAATTTTTATTGCTCCGACTGCAACAAGTTCAACGGACTCTCGCCGCGAGACCGCAAATAATGATAAAAAAAAAAAAAAAAAAAAAAAATAAAAAAAAACGCGCTCGTGTCCGTTCGGGATACCGTCGAATCGCGCACTGTCGTTNNNNTATTGCTCCGACTGCAACAAGTTCAACGGACTCTCGCCGCGAGACCGCAAATAATGATAAAAAAAAAAAAAAAAAAAAAAAAAAAAAAAGGAAAAAGATAGTTCACGACCTTGCAGCCGACGAGTATGCTCGTACTATCATTATTGTATATTACAGTGCGCGTTGCGCGTGCGAGAATATAACACTTTATTATTATATAAATATGTGTAACGTTTCGATAATTTCGTGATATTGTAACGATACGGGTATCACCTGGCGCGCCGCGCCACAAATCGATAATTAGCGCGCAAAAAAAAATAAAAAAAAACGCGCTCGTGTCCGTTCGGGATACCGTCGAATCGCGCACTGTCGTTTGTACCTTTGTCGATTTGCGTTCCGGTCGGAAATGGCAACGGTTTACGCGGTGATGGGAGCACGGGGCGGGGAGGTTGCGGGAAGACGGACAGTACCGAAACTCATTTTTCCGAATTTTCAGCCTGGCCACGTCCGACGATATTGTTTTAAATGGGACGTGTTTTTGTATTTTTGTGAAAACGCATTTTCATTAAAAAAAAAAAAGCTATCGAGAAAACAAAACAAAACAAAAAAAAAAAGTCACTTTATTATTTATACGCGTAACTCATAATCATAATTGTTTTCGCGCTATTTATTATTTAAATGTTCGATTTGGTGATAACTAGAGGTCGGGTTTTATGATTTTACATATTTGTTTCTAGTGTGCGCAGTCAAATGGCAGTAAGGTTTCTTCACGATTCACGAAACATAGAATTCAGAGAAAAAAAAATGTATTTAGCATAAAAAGCATATTTTAGGGTTTAGAGGATATTCAATACGTTAGGGAATATTTGAGATTTTGAGAATATTTTATATATACTTTTAGTTTTTCATTCTATTTTATTTTTACGGACTTATATCGTCGTTTTGATAACATTGATCAACAAATACAATTTATTTTACAAGATATTTATGTTTACATTCTTTTGGATTTCTAATAAAAATGAATCACTAAATATGTCTGATCGATGGCGATAGCACGTCAGAAACGATAAAATAACGGTAGCTGTCACGAGCTGTTACGCTTTCAAAATAAATAAAATAAAATAAATTAAAAATGTTGTAAATCAAATTAATAATACAATTTAATTTAAGCTGAAAATTCAAGTTAAATTTTTTTTACGAAATTGCATACTTTGAAAATTGTCTAAAGTTTAATTTTTTTTGTGTGTTTAGGGAATGAAAATAAAAATTTGATTTTTCTCCAAATCGATGTCCTCCTCAAAGATAAACCGATTGAACAAAAAAAAAATCAAACAAATTTTAATATTAACAGCACTAGAAAAATCCATCGAACACTGTATTTTAGAATAATATCACACATACGCAACCGCGGATTGCATATCGTTATGTTTTTTACACGCGATGAACCGGACATATATAATAATAATAATAATGATATACCCGTATAACGCGGTGTTCCGACACGTTCAATTTTTTTTTCTCCTCACACGGAATACGTTGTAATTTTAGATTCTGAATCTTGGTTTTACAAAGACCTTTTTTATTTTTTCTGTGGACAACTTTTCTATTAGAGATATTGCTCCGATGCTTAAGTGTAGCTCTATTTTAAAAGAAAATCTGACTGCAAATGTATTTTAAGGAGGACATTTTTCGACTGTCACAAGAGTTTTCCCAGCAAATGTCGAAAACCGGGAAAAACACGAGAAAACCAAGAAAAACCGGAAAATCGGTACAATATTACATAAATATCATTAACGAAAATACAATGTCTGTTTAATTATTTTACCACGACTTGTTTGTTGTTGACAAAGCATCGCTGTCAACTGAACTCCGTTCAGAATCGTTTTTTCGTTGGCAATGGTTTATCGTTGCCTACAGGTATACATCAAATTCCCTTCTGTAACCTACCTTCCCAACTTCCCACCCGTAACAGTGGCCGCACCCGTCCCCGTTATCCTACATATTTACGGTATGAAATATTAACTGCTGGCGCACGATTAAAAGAAAAAAAAAAAAAAGTCATGATAATAATAATAATAATAAACGCGCACACGCGCTTATTACACGCGCAGACGGACGCGTGTCCGTTTATTATTATTATTGTAAACCGACGCGGAAACATCGATAACAATTATTATTATTATTATTATTATCATTTTATTATTACACGCGGATATCATATTTTTTTTTATTTTTTTTTTATGGCGTGAAACGATCCGCGTTTATACGTTTTTATAACAATAATTTATCGTGCGCACATCTCTGTATATAGGTACACAATATAAGCGTCGCTGTCACAAAGTCGCAGATTTATTGACCGCCGCCGCTGCACTGTTACGGCGGCGGCGTCGGCGGCAGGCGTAAACGACATTTACAAAATAAAATAATATTATTTTATTTATTACCGACGCTGTATTTTTTCAAAGTTCAAAATGCGCCGCGTATTTCGCGATTCCGGGTGTAACGAAGAAATCGCACTGTACATTACCGGGTCGCGTAAGCGTTTAGTGAAAACGTAACAAATCGTACAAACTGTCGGTATGATTACAGAAAATGTTTATGTTTAATTGACGTTTACAGGTTATTTCGATTTACTTCAATTTGCATCGCAGGCCAGAGGCGAATTTATTGAGATAATTTGTTTGGCGGTTCTGGTAGCAACGAACAATCGAGTTGCGGACCAAGTTTATGAGAGGGACATAAGAGTTGCGGCAGCCACATAATAATTACGACTTCGTATCAGCCTAATTGTGTTAACCGGGAAAGAGATTTTTTTCAAACGTTTTCTTCGTTTTTAATGTATAAGTTCTGGATTTTGTATAAGTCTCAGATAAAACTTCACTGAACACGTCAATGGAGTTATAGACGTTAGGATGGAACAGCTATTAGTTTGTTGATTATCATGATAACCGCCGACTATTTTAGAATAGAAACACGGCTATCGAATTCAATCCTTAGAATTTTTTATGGACTTTTTCGGAGAAGTTTGTTTTACCCCGAACCAATAATAAATTCACTACATCGGAATTTCGGATTCTGTTCGTTAAAATGTTTAAACGCGTGTTCATCAATAGAGACAAGGACTAAAAGCTTTAATATAGATTATATTTGAACACTGAAAATTCGCATTGGAAAAAAAAAATAAATAGTTTTTAACATAAGGGAAATTAACATCAGTATGGATTAAACGATTATTAATATAAAGGTACCAAACCGTGTCGTTTATTCCGAGTAGTCAAGTAGTCGTTTTTTTTTTTTTTTTTATTAGTGATATGAATCGATTTTTTTTTACTGTCCGGTAAATAACGTAGAAATATATAAA